CTCTCTTGTATTTTCCAGTTCTCTTTGTTTTTGCTGAATCTCAGTCCTCCCACTGGAATTTGCCCGGGATCATGAAGCTGGCCTGCTTGGGCTGGAACCAGCACCAGTTTGAATTGTCAGAGCTCCTGGAGGTTTCTGTTTGTGCTGTACTTGACTGTCCTGCATCATGTGACACTTCAAAACTCTCACTTCGCTTGGCTTCCCTGAAAATTCTCTCGCTTGTTTTCCCCTTGCACATCTGTCAGAATTCTTGCTGGCTTCTCTTCCTCCACTCACCTCTAAAATATAAACTTCCTAAGACTCTGACCTTAAGTTTCTATTTCTCGTATGCTCTGTTTTCTCCTCAGAAGGTAATTTCAGTAAGAAATATATACTCAAATACTACATGATGCCTCAAAATCAATAGAATTTTATTTTTACAAGCAATATTATGAAACAACTGTTCCTAGTTCATTGTTGTTTTTAATTGAAATTCTAACTCAGGGGCCAAGATACCAGATTACTATCAGATGCCAGAGTGAGGGTGACGTAGACCTGTGTGGAATAATTATTAAAGTTGGTATCTGAGAACAGAGTCTATGATTCTTAAAACCTTCTCCCTAGATTGACCTCTGCCTCCTCACTCCCTCCCCCTCCGCAGGCCTTCACAGCACTATTATCTGTGTCCATGGGTTTTGCATATATGCATATAAGTTCTTTGGTTAATCTCTTCCCCAAACCTATATCATTTAATTAACCAATGTTACCCCAATAAATTTAATTGAATTGTGTGTGTGTGTATATATATATTTTTATTGATTTCAGAGAGGAAGGGATAGAGACATCAATGATGAGAGAGAATCACTGACTGGCTGCCTCCTGCACGCCCCTCCACACCAGGGATGGAGCCCGGAGTCCGGGCATGTGCCCTAAAACATCAATGGTGAGAGATAATCATTGATCAGCTGCCTCCTGCACCCCCCCCCCACTGGGGATCGAGCACATAACCTGGGCATGTGCCCTGACCAGGAATCAAACTGTGACCTTCTGGTTCATAGGTTGATGCTCAACAACTGAGCCACACCAGTTGGGCTAAATTTAATTTTATAAAATCACAATAAGATAGCTCCTCACACCTGTTAGAATGGTTTTTAATAATAAAAAACACACTAAGTGCCGAGACCGGTTTGGCTCAGTGGATAGAGCGTCGGCCTGCGGACTGAAAGGGCCCAGGGTTGATTCCGGTCAAGGGCATGTACCTGGGTTGCGGGCACATCCCCAGTAGGAGATGTGCAGGAGGCAGCTGATCGATGTTTCTCTCTCATCGATGTTTCTAACTCTCTATCTCTCTCCCTTCTTCTCTGTAAAAAATCAATAAAAAAATATAAAAAAAAAACACACTAAGAGATAACATTTCTGGGAGAGATGATGATATCTGATTTATATTTTTTGGAAATAACAATATTAATGCTCTATTTTTAAATTTGTATATTTGCAACAATACTGTATAAGTCAAAATTACAATCCTTTCACAATAAATTCATCCTAGTGCCAATTTTTATTTAGAAAATCATTTTTTAAATATGTTTTTAATTAAATTTATTGGAGTGACATTGTTTAATTAAAGTTTTCAGTGTACATTTCTATGGTACATTATCTGTATATTATGTATTGTGTCCACCACCCAAAGTCAAATCTCTTTTTATCACCATATATTTTACTCCCTTTACCATTTACTACCTCCCCACTCCTCTTCCCTCTAGTAACCACCATACTATTGCCAGAGTTTTTGTTTGTTTGTTTTTCTTATTTGTTCATTTGTTGCTTTCATTTTTATATCCCACATATGAGTGAAATCATATGGTTCTTGACTTTTTCTGTTTGACTTATTTTACTTAGTATAATATTCTCAAGATTTATCCATATTGTTGCAAATGGTGGTATTTTATTTTTTGTATGGGTGAGTAGTATTCCATTGTATATATGTACCACATCTTCTTTCTCCAATCATATATCAAAGGCCATTTTAGTTGGCCACCATGAATAAAGCTCCAATGAACATATGGGTGCATATATCTTTGTGAATAAATGTTTTCAATTTTTTTTTTTCTGTAGATACCCAGAAGAGGGGTTGCTTGGTCATATGGTCACTCTATTCTTAATTTTTTTGAGGAACCTCCATAATGGTTTCCATAGTGGCTATACCCATTTACTATTCATTTATATTTTCCACATTTTATTTAAAAACTGTGTGTTAGTTTTAAAATTAGAATGGATGCCATTTAGAAAGCAATAATTTTGGAAGGGCAAGAAGGTCCCCCACATTGCTGCCTTTTTCTTTCTGTACTGATGCATCAGAAGAGAGCACCCCTGCCTCTTCCTACTTGCACAATAGCTTGTTCACCTAGGTCATGGATGCTCCATTAGTCAATAGGATTCTAATTTGGGGTGTCTCACTTTCTCTAGGGGTCATATTACTTTTCTGAGTCCCCCAGAAGTTTGTGTAGAAGTAGGATATGTAGTTTGTTTTTTAAAAAAACATATTTTATTGATTTTTTACAGAGAGGAAGGGAGAGGGATAGAGAGTTAGAAACATCGATGAGAGTGAAACATTGATCAGCCACCTCCTCATGCACCTCCCACTGGGGATGTGCCCACAACCAAGTTATATGCCCTTGACCGGAATCAAACCCGGGACCCCTCAGTCCGCAGGCCGATGCTCTATCCACTGAGCAAAACCAGTCAGGGCAGGATATGTAGTTTTAAATGCCTAAGTACTAATTTCCTTTGGTCACACTCCTAACCAGCAGCTAGTGTTAATGTCTTTTGCTTCGTCATTCCTTGCCCTGGTTCCACCTAAGCAGCTGCTAGATATCAGAACTCCCCTTCATTGGAGAAGAGTGGGGCAAAACATCACTCAGTTCAATAACTTGGCTTTACTGACCACAACAGGTTGATGGAAGTGGTCAAATTTACACCTACAAGCTAATATAACCACCAATTCTACCGGAATCCCTACATTGTTTCTTTGAAGTACATGCTATTCTCCTGGCGTCAGTTAGGGGGCAGCAGATATCCTGGCATTTTTTTGCTGTCTAAAGTAAGCTTCAGTTTGGAGATCCTGAAGTTGATATGCATTGTATTAATATTTTCCTTACCATGTCACGTGGTCTGGCAGTTCCTTCCTGCACTAGCTGATCATTTTAGGGAGCCAAGCCACTCACCTACTAGAGTGTTTATAATTCAATACCGAGTAAAGGTGAACCCAAGTAATAAATTACCCTGTGTAATTACTGCACTGTGCCTTAGCTGAGCCAGTTTCATTACTATCCAAATATTACAAAACCCAGCCTTCTCTTCTGGTCTGCCATTCAGTCTCGCACACACGCCCAAGTAAGCTTTATTTTGACTCCTTAAAATACCCTCAGAACGGGACTGCATGTAAAGGGATGAGTGAAAACATCTATAAAATTGCTTTTGCAAGGGCTGCAAGCTGCTAATTTAAGAGGATGAAAGATAGCTCGGCCTGCGGTCGAAACATTTCCTTTTCCTGATACATATACATTAAGGAGATGCTACTTTTTCGGCTATTTATCAGCTATTGAAAAGCGTGAATGCTGAGTTTGAATCCAGGTAGTCCAGCTGCAGAACCACACACTTTACGCACAGCTTCAAATGGACTTCTTCCTATTTCAGACCCCTGGGGTGCAGAGCCCGCGCCTTTAGTAACCATGAGGCCGTAGGTAGCTGTGCCCACCCACGTCATTCGGGGAGTCTTGACGACAGGCTGTCCTCTTCAGCTACATGCCACCAGGGACAGAGTCAACCAGGAGTCATTTGGGATGAGGTGGTTCTAAAGACTGCCTTCATTTTACGTCCGGGAGGAAGCTGTTCTGAGGAGGACCTGTCTTCTTGGGACCAGGACCCTTGGTGAAGTTTGGCCTTTGTACGCCTCCATCTGAAAACTTAGTTTGTTTTTTTAATGAGGATTTGGATTGAAGGTTAGAGAGGATTGCTCAGAGGGGGAAAGTGTGAAATGGTAATCGCTTTCATATGACACTTGAGAAATGTTATAATGAAGCTGAGTAAGTTGGAGCATGAGTTAGCCAGTCCTTTGCCTAATGATGTCACCCACTTTCTGCTTCCTCCAGTCTATGATTAATGAGAGGGGGATTATTACAGTAACTCACTCCAAGTGGGCAGCAGTGACATCAGCAGCAGCTGAGCAAACTGACTGCATTTAGTCGTGCGTGTGGATGTGGGCATTTTTTTTTTCTCTGTGACTAACATGAAGCTAACAGCATCTAATGAAACAAAAGCTCCTTGAAATTTGGGGAACTTATTGAGTGGACTTTTTTTCTACAGGGAGCACCATTTTAATTATTCTCATGTTATAGTTAAATGATGTTAGAATTGGCCAAAATTACATGACTGGCTTTCTGCCCCTCTTCATGTAGTCATCACAAATTAACTCTTGATCTTTGGGAAGGAGGTTTCCTGAAGCTTTTGCTTTCTAATAGAATGGCTCTTCCTACATTGATCATTCTATCTCATCTTTTAAAAGAAAATCAGTGAGTATTAAGGAAATGGACTGTGGCCATAAGTTTTTTTGGTGTGTGTGTGTGTGTGTGTGTGTGTGTGTGTGTGTGTGTGAAAGTTCAAGACTAGTTGTAGAATCCAGTGGTCCCAGTTCAACATTTAGAATATTGGGCTTAATTAGTTTGCTTTGCAAGCTGATAAAAATGAACAGAAGTGCTGGTTGCTATTTCACCTTTACAAACTTGACTGTCCTAAAATTAGAGTGGGGCACCTCGAAATATTTACTCACCGAGCTGAGCCACTGCCAGAACGCACTGTCATGTACATGAAAGTACACAGAGTCTGGAACAACGGCGCTCCACTGTGCGGGCCTGGGCATGCCTCAGAGGTGCTTCGACAGGGGGCAGAACCTTTGGACTCTTTCTATCAACACACAAAGGAGACAGCAATTCACTGATAAAAAAATACACATAGGACTGCCCCCAGCTTATTCTGTCTTCCCTTCTGAAGCTACAGTTTGGGAACAGGTCGTGGGATAGCTTTGTGGATAGACAAACCTGGATTCTGCTCTCTTATCCAAGTCCAATGGAGTCTAGATGCTAAACCTATATGTCCACGAGTCAGCAACATGGAACTTATTACCCGAGAGGATCCAGGTGAGAAAAACACTTACAATAGCTGTTATACGTTCTTTTGTGAGTACCTCTCCCAATCTTCTGGGGTAATATACGGTCTACTTCTGTGGCAGGTGTTTGTTGATTGCATTAGAACTGAGCTGTGATCATCAATTTTGAAATGTATGTTGGCCAGGAAAAACTTTGAGGACATAGTTATCCTTCTGAGTTAGTGTTAGTATTGGCTCCCCTCAATATATGTTCTTTTATGAGGTTATTTGTGACTATTTCTCTCTACATATTGAGTTGTTCACAAGTACTAAGTAGTTCTTGGGAAGAAGTCCAGGTGTCTCTGAATCATGGGGAGACTGATTGAAGTGTCTGGTTCCAAAATGACCATTTACCTGAGGAGTCTGATTCACATACTAGAGCTAATGAGATGGCCTTGGAGTGTCTAATACATTTCCCACTATGGCTCTCTTCATCTTGCAACAGTCTCTGACCGGCCGTCTCATTCTGGATGATCCAAATCACCCAGGGACTAAGTGATGAGTCAGGGAAGTGGCCGAATCATGCAGGGGATGGCATTTCACATCTAAGCCCGTTGGATCCAGGCAACTTCCCTGTTGTGTGTTTCACCAACATTTGTTGATTATTATCATTATTTCCCCTGATATGAAATCTTTCATAATAGCTCCCCCAGTCCTCGCATGGGGGCAACACCTGAAAGGGCATTGCCTTTCTTCAACAGTCATCCCACCTCCTTTTAAAGAGGAAGTTTGGAGAATATCATCTTGCTTGGAAGACGCATTAGGATTTAGCAAAGCACTCTGTTTTCTCTCTTTGGATATGGTGTGTCATTCCCCTAATGTATTAAACAAATAAAATCAAGCTACATCATATTTGTTTGCTCTGGGACAGTGGTTGGCAAACTCATTAGTCAATAGAGCCCAATATCAACAGTACAACGATTCCAACTTCTTTTGGCAGCCAAATTTTTTAAACTTAAACTATATAGGTAGGTACATTGTTATTAACTTAATTAGGGTACTCCTAGGGCTTAGGAAGAGCCACACTCAAGGGGCCAAAGAGCCGCATGTGGCTCGCGAGCCACAGTTTGCTGACCATGGCTCTGGGAGAAAGGCATGGCAATCTCGCTTTCGTGAACTTTACTTCTGAGAATTCTCTATTGCATGGACTTACCTGCTACGGAATTACTGACGTGAATAACTCAACTCCTCACTCACTTACTCTTTTCCATAAGCCTGTTGCTTCCTAACAACTCCAGTGTTGGCCAGCTCAGATCATTTTGTTGCTGGTCACCAATATTCTTCTTTTCCTTAGAACGTAAGGTCCGCAGGACATGTACCAAGGCCATGCTGGAAAATTGGGGGTGGGGGTCGGGGAGACCACAATGTTGCCGGTACGCTTACAGAGCAGTATCTGCTGTGTGGTGTGGGTCTGCATTAACCAGGAAGCACAAAACACAGGAGAAGGCAGAATTGCTTGAATTATTATTTTTCATGGTTGCCAAGGCCCTTTGGGGCACGGATGGGAAAGGAATTATGTGAAACTTCAAAATTATAACTCAAAATCAGGGTTTCTCAACTCTGGGGCACCCAACTTTTAGCCAGCAAATGTCTGTTGTGCAGGCTGGCCTGTGCACTATAGGACGTTTAGTAGCATCCCTGGTCTCTGCCCACTAGATGCCAGGAGCCTCCCCACCTTGTTAGGCCGAGTAAAAATGTCTTCATTGTCAGGTGACTTCTGGGAAGCAAAATCACCCCCAGTGAGAACCACTGCTCTAGACTAAAGGATAACAGTTTACATTTTTTCTCTCCCTGATCATTTTAGTTCTAGCATCTGGGTTCCCTCTGTTCTGATAAGGCATTTCCAAATACTCTGAACGCAGAGCACAAGACCTTGTGGAACATCCCAGTGATTCTCAGGGAAATGTGAGGTTAGGAAGACAATTTTGGATTAATTATTTCTGACTCTTGTTTTCTACTAAATTCTGGAGGAATTTCAATCTTTCTCTCTCTCTCTTGATCTGTGTCACTCTCTAGCTCCATTCATTGATTTACCTTAAAAGCAAACAGCTTCCCAGTTCACTTTTGAATGTGAAATACTGACCCTTCTTTGTCCCAAATCTCTCTCTATACAGCCGGCTGTACAGGAAACAGGCAGGGTTTGCCAATCCCGTATTCAACCTAAAAACCATTTGATGAGACTCCCCACATCTCCCTGCAGCAAATAACATTCTGACTCTGCCCACGTTTTCTCGATTCTTAGCTTCCCCTCGAGGGAGTCACCGCTGCCCACCTAGGCCAGGTTTTCCCTCCTTGAGGCCAGAATAACACGTCAGCTGCTGGGAACACCTCGAGCCCTTTTTTATTTCTCTCCACAGTCACGTATCATGTTCTGTCTCCCAGAAAGGATGAACCAGAAAGCATGCTTTTTTGGAAGCAGATTTTTCATGGGAAGGAACTAAAACACCCTGAGTTGTCAGCAGCCTCGTCCGTGCTCTGAGCCCCCAGCCTCTTGCTAGTTCAGCTGAATCAGAGGACAGCTTCCCAGTCACCTGCTAGGGATGTTCACGTCTCCTGGCTCTCCTGGCCTGTATGTTTCACTGAACACCAGCAATGCGTGCGCTGCAGCTAAAACAACAGCCCCCTTTTCTAGGGCCATTTCCTTGCTCCAGAAGCCGTGAGCAAAGAGGCCAATTAATAAATAGCATGGGTGGAAACGGAGGACATAAGGTTTGCTTGGGAAGAAAAATGAACGTTCTTGCTTCTTGCTCGATGCTAACTTCACCCAGGGACAGCCGCTGCCACGGGTCACAACCACTACAGGTGAGCCGGGCCCTCAGGTGTGTGTCACCACAGGCCACAGGCAGGAGCAGGGATCCTGGTCTCTCCCCTGGCTGCACCGTTGAGCCCTTATCCTTAAAGGAACTGTGTTTTTGACCAACTCTCTCATGGTGATTGAACACACCAGCTCCCCAGCAAGGCACAGCCCTTGGAGTTAGCAGCAGCAAGACAAGCCCTAATTGCTCCATTTACATAAAAGTAGAAACACACAACTTCTAAATATAAATCTCTGGCACATCCTGCCTTTTGCAATTACAGTGAAATAAGGTAGCACCGTTTCCCTCCCGGCTCCCTGTCGCAGCAAGCTGCTCGCCGGGTTGTCCAGGGGCAGCTCCCCTAGGCCAGAAGGGAGCCTTGCAAATGCTCCCGGGAGGAGTTGGGCGCTGTGTGAAGTGGCCAAGCAGGCCGGCAGCCCCAGGTGGGAC